GTGTGTGTGTGTGTGTGTGTGTGTGTGTGTGTGTGTGTGTGTGTGTGCGTGTGGGTGTGCGTGCGTGCGTGCGTGCGTGAGTGCGCGCGCGTGCGTGTGCGTGCGTGCGCGTGTGCTTGTGAGTGCGCATGCGCGTGTGCGTGTACGTGCGCGTGCGCGTGTGCGTGTGCGTGCGCGTGTGCGTGCGCGTGCGCGTGTGCGTATGCGTGTGCGTGTGTGTGTGTGTGTGTTTGATTTAAGATATTTTTTATAATACTTTTTATATTATTATTTTAAAATTTATCCTGTAATTTGTGTACATACGTTATAAGTAATAACAATTTTATTTTAAAATATATAAACAAATTTTTACAAAGAACTTTCGAAAAAAAGAAGAAATTTGAACGTCCATTACTATGAATGACATATACACGAGTTATAGGTGAATTATAGTTCGGTGACCGGCAACGTCGATAATCTGGAGGGTGGTCTCGACGGGGTTGTGCAGGTGATCGTTTGTGATCGACAAGTTGGTTGGGCTCATCAAGCGCGGAAGCTGATGCTAGTAGCGACCGATGGACTTTTGCATTTCGCTGGCGAAGGAAAGGTAAGAAGAGAAGAGGAAAAAAGAAGAGTTTTGAAGTTGTCAAAATGATATAAAATCGAATATTTTCTATGTAATAGCTAGGAGGTGTAGTGGAACGTCAAGACTTTCAGTGTCACATCGATGAACGTGGACAGTATTTCTTGGCGAAGAAATACGATTATCCCTCTCTAGCGGAGGTGTCTCGATTGTTGCATGAGCGCAAAGTCAATCTGATCTTTGCCGTGACGGAAGATCGCCGTCACGAATATGAATTAATCGCCGACTTGCTGAAGCAGCAGGCTAGGGTCGCCACTCTCACACGTAACAGCTCCAACATCCTCGAGATCATCGAGAGTGCTTACCACGAGATAGTGAGTAAAGTGGTGTTGCGCGACAATGCGACCGGTCCGTTGCATCTTAGCTACCTCTCCGCGTGTGGAAGCGATACGAGTGTGGAATCGAATACGTCCGAGTGCGACGGTATACAGGAGGGTCAGGTGTACGAGTTCAAAGTCGTCATATCGACTGACGAGTGTCCGAGAAATGAAAGTCTCTGGGTGAGCTGTGTTTGTATAATGCGAATTACTTTTCTAGATCTGATTCTGTTTAATTTCATTAAATAAGAAAATTCAAAAAACACCATTATCTTATGAAAATTATACATTTCTATATAAAAAAAGGACCTCTTGATGACAAAGAATTTTTAATTTATGTTTTAAAAAAATAAATGTATAACATTTTAAAAACATATAGATATTATTCGCGAGGCAAAACTTGGCGTTTTTTTTAAATATGAAGTTTATACAACTTTTCTGTTACAAAATTAAAAAAAAGGAGAAATGCAAAGAAAAAGATAATAGTTATCCCTTGTAGCCTTTCAAAGATGAATACGATTTTGGCCTTAGACTTTCTATTGCGTCATAATTTTGGAAAATTTGAAGTAAAATTTGCAGAAAAAGACTATTTTATGAAGGAAAAATTTTATTTAATTGAAAATTGAATTTATTGTCAAAATTTTTAACTCATAAAAAATCTCGTGAACTTTCTCGCGACGTAGTAGGCGCAATATTTGATCACGGAAATCTTATCAAGCTCAACTTTCATTTAGATTTCTCCTGAGAATTAAAAGCTTAGTGTATTACTTTATTTTGAGCAGAATAAAACGTTTCTCTGGCACGTGCATACCGAATTATGTTGAAATATCTCGTTTTTTTTACAAATCTATTTTCAAAATTTTAAAAATAAATATAGCAAGTAATTTTTGAGACTAAAATTATATTAAACGTAAGAAATTATTCTTCTCTTTGAGTTTCTTTTATTAAATTGTTTTATATTAATCGTTTGTCCGAAGGACGAGGAGATCGATAGTGTCAATACGAGATATTTCACATAAATGTCTTATACGCGGCTTATCACGTTTCAGAGACAAACGGTGGTAATTGAGGACGCGTTAGCGTCTGAGGCGTCCGAAGTGCAAATTGAGGTAGAACTTTTGTGCGGTTGTCATTGCAAGAACGTAGAAAGTTCGTACTGCGAGCACGGGGTCAACGAGTGCGGTATATGCAAATGCGACTTTGGCTGGTCTGGTAGGAGCACGTAACATTGTCTTTCTTTTTGCGCATTTTTATCCGGAAGTATATCTTTGTCACGTCTCGGATATACTTGCACATATGTTAATCGCGTGAAACTCTCTTTTACAGGAGATACCTGCGACTGCGATGAGAGTTTCTCGATAGAGAATAGGCTGCAATGCACCAACGGCGAGGAGATTTGCTCAAACAGAGGTGAATGCATTTGCGGTGTTTGCAGCTGCGACAAGGGATACAATGGGCGCTTTTGCGAATGTTCCCCTTGCGACAAAGTATGAAAAGTATTATTAAATGACAAAAAATTAATAAAATTACAAAGAGTTATTATAGCATAAATCGATTACAAAATTAGTCGATTACAAAAATCGAATTTGATAGACCGACGGGATCGAATGTGGCGGTCGTGGTATATGCAATTGTGGTGTTTGCAACTGCTTGGATGGATGGAAGGGCAGCGGTTGTCAATGTCTGTCTGGTAACGAACTTTGCATTGCTCCTGGCAGCAAAGAAGTATGCGCCGGTCACGGATACTGTGATTGCGGACAATGCCGGTTCGTATAATAGATAAACATCTCTCTTACGCGTAAAGTGATTTATATAATATTTCAATAGATGTATGTTGAATAACTCGAAAACAAAGTACTCTTGAGAAAAATGTTTTAAACAAAAGTTGATTTTGAGGGTTACGTAAAATCATGACTTTAGTTTAATCTTGACTGACATTTTCAAAGTCATAACATTATCAAAATTATCTACATTTTTAAAATAAAACTATGAAAATTTTGTGACGTAAATCGATTTCCCTAGATATTTTGAATGTAAGTATTAATTAAGGCGACGTTAATCTAGAAATTATAATAGTTTATGAGATATTATGTTTTATTATTTCATTATACTTATTTATTTCATACTTTGATATACATATAACATGTGTGTGTGAAATGTCTCGCAAAATATTAATTTGCGATGACTATAATATTTTATACATAAAATAATGACATGACTCGGTTAATGTAAAGAAAGCATATAATTGTAATAAAAGAATAATTTATAATTTGCAACATATAATTGCAAATTGTATTTTTTTAAAGCATAAACATTGTAGTTCTATTATTCACTGTTGCGTGTAGAACAGAGCGTTTTAATATACTACTTTAAAACTTTTAGTTGCAAATTATATATATTTTCTCTTAAATGCAATTTTGTATTTTTTGTGCCAATCGATTTATTTTCTTATTCGGTGCATAAAATTATTAAAATACCGTTGAAAAAGAAATATTTCAAAAATATTCCATATTTTATGTTCAAATATGTCAGAACAAAATACGAAATGTCTCCGTAAACTCTATCGATGACTTTACTTTTATGTACTTTATATACAAAATACTTTTATATACAAAATGACTAAATGGGAGAGAGAACTTAATATAAAAAGACCGATTAGCTTTATTTAACAAAATATCATCGATGTTACTTGAAAAAGATGTCATACACTGTTGGAAAATTTTTGTAGTTTTGTTAAAAAAGGTCCTTGTTAAAATTTTCGTGTAAAATAATCAATACATACATGTAACATGTGCCTGCTATGTTAATTAAACTTAACAAATTTAAAATTTAAAATTATTAAAATAATTTAAAAAATATGTTAAATAAAATAGTATGAGGACCTTCGAAATTAAAATAAGAGAAGTGGAGGCTATAAGGGTCAGACGCAGATCTCAGTGCGTAATGTCAGAAATAACTGATTTATTGGTCGTTGTGATTTATATCGATCCATCGATACATCGATGTAAATCACAACGACCAATAAATCAGTTATTTCTGACATTTCGCACGGAGATCTGCGTCCGACCCTTATAGCCTTCTCTTAAATATGTTAAAGTAACACAATTTGAACGTATTTATTAAATATGCTAAAATTTACAGAAAAAGAATGTTGATTTTACTCTATAACAGAAGTAGGAATAAAAATTTCAAAAAAAGAGTATTGATTTTATCTTACAATCTTAACTTCAACATAAAAGTTATGTTAATTGTACACATAATTAACCTTAAATTACGATCAGAATTACATTTCCTTTCTGTTGAAATATTTTAACATAATATCGGTGTTACCATTTAACACATCCATATTATATTAAATTAACACAAAAATTTGAGTGGACCGTTTGGGACATGTAATTTATGTTATATTTAACACAAATTTTCCAACAGTGTAATTTCTTTTACATCCATTATATTTTTCTAGAGTCAGACTGAAATAAAAAACCGAAACTTTCACGGAAATCTTACAATTAGAAAGGCCATATGTATACGCGTGCGCATATACACTATATACCTTTTCTTTATAAATATCATAATTTAATTACTAAAATAATAATTGCACATATTATCATAATTAATCCTACTATTATACAATCCTATTATCACAACCTGTGCTATAGTATAAGTAAGTATAGCATAAAGTAAATTTCGGTTTTCGGTTTCGGTCGGACTCTATATTTTTCCTCTGAAATTGTAACCCACAAATACAATTTTTATAAATATATATATATATACAGGGTGTCCGAAAAATCGCCTACTCCACTTCGGGAGGTGATTCGGGACCCAAAAACAAGCAAAAAAGTTATACAAACATAGGTCCGGAAATGAGCCGTTTCCGAGTTATAGCCACTTTTATGTTCAAAAATCGTAATTTAGAATCCGCTTGGCATCTCTCATTCTTAATTATTTCTTAAATTAAAAATTTTTATTTTTAAATATTTTTAATTTTTAATTTTTTTATTTTTTTTCAATTTTTCAATATTTGTAAATACGATTACATTATTTTTAAAAGAAATCAGTTGTTTTCACGGCTCTTCAAAATCAGTTGTTTTCACGGCTATTCAAAATCAGTTGTTTTCACGGCTACTTGAAATCAATTGTTTTCACGCCTATTCAAAATCAGTAAGTAAATCACGGCTTTTCAATAAGTTTCAAATTATTATTTAACAACACCTTACTTTTAGGTTGTATCTAATTTTTCCGTATTCATCAATGGATCGTTTAAGTTTTAATGAATTAGCTGATATGCATCTTATGTATGGTCTTGCTCAAAGTAATGCTGCCGAGGCAAGAAGATTATACATCCAGTTTTTTCCAAATCGAGATGTACCGGGAATAGGGTCTTTTCGAAATGTAGACAGAAACTTGAGAGAATTTGGTAATTGTAATTAAAAAAAATTGAAAATAAAAATTTACGATTTTTGAACATAAAAGTGGCTATAACTTGGAAACGGCTCATTTCCGGACCTATGTTTGTATGAACTTTTTTGCTTGTTTTTGGGTCCCGAATCACCTCCCGAAGTGGAGTAGGCGATTTTTCGGACACCCTGTATATATATATATATATATGTATATAAAAGAAAAAAGTATATTTGATATAATGATATAAAACGGTTTAATTTTAGATAGTATGGTTTTATTAAAAAGCGCGTATTTATAGATGCAACGAGACAGCTGCTGATGGTTTATACTATCGAGGTACATATTGCGAATCGTCTGTGAGCGCAGGTGGCAGTGGACTTTGCATCCTCTACAACTCTTGCGTGAACGTCACGGTCGAATATCCGGAGAAAGCGGAAGAACTATGTCAGACCAATACGACTCTTTACAAAACCGAGCGAGTGGACACGGTGGATATAGGTATACGCGCGATTTACGCTTGACGCAACCTACTTGTTCTCTTTTCATATCGACGTCAAATATTTAAGCAGACATTTTACGAGTGTTTTCGAGAAACATTTAAAAGTATCTTTAAGCAGATGACGAGCACTACTGTTTCGTGAGGACGGTACAAGATAGAACTGTCTGCAACATACCTTACATATACGAATTTCAACCGGATAAAACGGTTATTTTGAGAATCGCCGACAAGGTACAGCGCAAATATAATAGACCTATAAATCTAATTATTATTAACTTATAAACTATATATAGTATTTAATCGTAAAATATAATAAAATTTCCCTTATGAATCTCTAATTTTCCTGAATCTTATAGACTTGCCGCACGCTGATGCACGCCGCGTTTATTCCGGGAATCGTCTTCGGCGCCGTATTACTACTCGGGATTACAGGCTTATTAATATGGAAGTAAGTAACCGCTTTCTCACAAAAAACCGTTTAAAATAGTCATTGTTTAAAATAGAGCTATAAAAAGTTGTGTCGGATATTAATTATACGTATAATATATGCTATAAGCGTAAA